TATATAAAAATTTACTTTTCCCTGAACATTTGAAATATTCACATAATGTATTACTCTACATTTCCGAAGTACACATTTAGCGTCGATATCGATATGGCTAACTGCACATCACCACACGTGGCAAGCACATGGTCGCTCAACAAAAAAATATAAAAAATACCATGAGAAAGTTGTAAGCGCAGTGTCAACGTATGATCGTTATTAAGTACGAATGATTTTTTTCTATTTAGTTTTGCGTGTGTTTTGCTTTTATTATAAAACCATTTTAATCTATAACTTTAATATTTAACCTCAGAAGCATATTGCTTAGACTTAGTTATAAGAGTCAAGCATTAATGTAGAAGAATAAATAAATTCCAATTATACGACAGTGTGTTTTAAACTTCCATGGTTTCTAACATTATAGTAATATATGTTACTAGCGGCCCGCCCTCCCTTTGCTTCGGTGTAGAGCTGAAGTGTGGACTACAGTTTATGTTCTCAGGCTTGTATTATACACAATGACATTCATCTATGATTCTTCTTGAGACCTGCATGCAAAGTTTAATAGGTTTAAAATTGACAAAGTTTCATACAAACTTTCATTCCCTATTTTAGCCCCTTGGGGCTAGAAATGATCAAAATCCTTTCTTAGCGGATGCCTACGTCATAACGTCTACCTGCACGCCAAATTTCAGCCCGATCCGTCCAGTGGTTTGGGCTGTGCGTTGATAGATCACTATGTCAGTCACCTTTGAGTTTTATATATATATATATAGATAGATTAACGGGATTGTTTACCATGTACCTTGTTTTTAGCGAGTTTCCGATATTTCGGCACTGTTGCAAGCGCCATGATTACGTAATAACTGAATCTCGTTAAAAACAAGGTTAATAGTAACAATGCCGTTAATAACATATATTACTATAACATAATCGTTAATAAGTAGATATTGTCCAATTTCATGGAAAGAAAATAGAAAATATTTTTGCCCTTCACGCAAATAAATAACCCTATTGAGTTTCAAAGGGTGTCTATTTATAGGTCTATTAATCAGAAAAGGTCTCTAATAACATGGTGTCCTATGAGCAAGGGTATCACCATGACAACGGCGAAGAACTAAAACATACTATCTCAAATTCAGTAAATAGAAATAGAAAGCTTTATTGTCATGAGTACAATGGTGTCACAAGTCATGTCTTAGTTCTAAACAGCTGCCTGTTTCGGACATACAATATGTTATATTTTTTTTTATAGATAGGTTTTTTTTTTTTTATAGTTAGGTCCGACAAATGACTCCACCCCACCTGATGTTAAGTGAAGGTGAAGTCCAGACGCGAAGATAGCTGATACAGCAGTTCTACCTGCCACACCAGCCATCCTCACCCTGCCGGCCTGCATGTTGCTTCTTCACGCCTCTTTTAAAGGATCCCAGGTTGTAAGAGGGAGGGAACACGTGAGCGGGCAGAGCATTCCATTTACGGATAGTGCGACAAAGAAATGAGTCACCAAATTTCTTTGTATGCGTTGGAATTGTGGCCACAGTAAGACGGTGACAACGTAGGCCAGCGCGCGTGGTCCTCTGAAGGAAAGGGGAAGGTGGGATAAGAGAGAATAACTCCTCAGAACACTCGCCGTGGTACAAACGATAGAACGCGCTTAGTGACGCCACGTCACGGCGTAATTGAAGAGGTTCAAGGTGTTTAGTCACCTCCTCATCGCCTATGATGCGGATTGCGCGCCGCTGTAACCTATCCAAAGCATCGAGCAAGTACTTGGCGGAGCCATCCCAGAGGTGCGAGCAATATTCCGACAAATGACTCCACCCCACCTGATGTTAAGTGAAGGTGAAGTCCAGACGTGAAGATAGCTGATACAGCAGTTCTACCTGCCACACCAGCCATAGTAGGCAGCGACGTATGTGATAGCTTTGTTATCGTAAGTGTCTTTAGGCTATGATGTCGGGCCTTATGCTATTTGTTCACCGTTTTAACATAAACCAGGGTTTGCCGAATTGGAGTGCCAGCCTTAGGGAGTATCCTCCACCTTACAGTATACTGCTGCTTTAGAACACTATCTTATTCAATACTATTAACATATAACAATATACCTTTGCCTTGTACCACTATCTTCTGTTGAAAACTGCATTAAAATTCGTTGCGTAATTTAAAAGATGTTTGTTTTATACTATGTAAAGGTGATTTAGGTTTAAGTAGCTTTGGTTTGGCTCATTATACAGACTGTATTCATAAATCATTTATGGGTCAAGGTATACATTTCTATAATAAGATTCCTATTGATATCCTTGATTTGCCTCCTCATAAATTTAAAATACACATTAAGAATTGTTTACTTTAGAAAGGATATTATACTGTCAATCAATATTTGAATGATAAAACGGCGTGGTTGTAATTTTACCTGTAGAAAATTTTTCAAAAGTTATATTAAAACTAAGGCTCCCAGCCTTAAAAAGAGTTTTGAAGAGAACCGTGCACTTACTCCCTTTCATTTACTTGTTCATTTTGTTTTGAAAATTGTTTCTTGCTATTTTGGGACTTTTCTTTGCACTTATTGTTAGTAAATTCATTGATTGTTACATATTTGACATTATGTGATGGAAGTTGACCTCAACACATGTTTGCAAGTTTGATGTCAACTTTCAATTGGACGACACTGTATGAAATAAAACAGGGAGAAAAAAGCAGCCCTTGCTGAGTTTCTTGCCGGTTCTTCTCAGTACAAGGTCTCCCGCCGTAGATTTGCGAACCGATGGCGTAGCTTTTCGACATTCACAAGTGCTTGTAACAGCCTAGACTGAATAAACGATATTGATTTTGAATTTTTTGAATTTTTGTAGGTGAAATTGTCTATCCTATTCTGCTGATTCTGCAATACACCCGATTGATTGGTATATAGAATCCTTTTCACAGAAAAAATCTGCATCAATTTATATAAATCATCATCACGTAAGTTAATAAGTTGTCAATACCAATATAATTTTCTTCACTTGTATGTAAAGAAAAAAAGTTATTTACTGACATACATCTAAACACAGTACTGTAACGTCCGTTGCGTTACAGCCTCCTTGTTTGGGTAAACTCTTTGTTTCATGTAATGCCTACGGCTGGCAGTCATATTAAAAATATAATGTCATGATTTTAATATTTGAAATTAGCAATCGTCTGTCGTTTGATAGAAGCTTCCGAGAGATATAGACTTGAGGCACCAAACCATGTGTTAATAAGATTAAGCTCATCTCTTATCTATTAGAAAAGTCCGTCCGTCCGTCTGTCTGTGGTGCTGTTTCAGCGGCCAAACCGTAAGAGATAGATAAAGAGAATATTTAAGTTATAAGTTAAGAATAGTCTGATAAGACTACAAACCGGATTTGAATAACGTAGCACTTCCGGTTTTCGAGAAATCACGAATTTCAAACGAAACCACACGAAATCCCCGAAGCTCTCAATTAATTAAATACATTTTTTTTAAATCAGGTTTTGGTGAACATTTGGTTCACTGGTTTGCTAGTATATTATATTCGCCTCAATTTAAAATATAAAAATATCAAATCAAAGTTGTTTTTTCCCCCAGGATCTACCCCTTCAAGGTAGATCGCCGCAGTACCTTCACGTGTAATCCAGAAGAGTAACAGCATGATAACAGCGCTACTCCGAGACTTAACTTTTACCTTTATTCTCATATGTTCGATTCATTAGTTCGATCGTCGAACTAGTGAGATATTTTTCTCTCATTAGTTCGATCGTCGAACTACTGAGATTTTATTGTCCTCATTTGTTCGACCGTCGTCGAACTTATTTACTTTATTTATCCATTTTTATTACTAGAACCTCTTAGTTATGTATGGTTTCCTAGTACTTTTTTCTAAATAGTGATTTTTATAAATGTTTATGGATGCAATATTGACGAAGGTCGAACAAATGAGAACAATAAAATCTCAGTAGTTAGACGTTCGATCTAATGAGAAAAAAAAATCTCACTAGTTCGACGATCGAACTAATGAATCGAACAAATGAGAATAAAGGAACTTTTATATTTCGTCATTGTCTATGCTTAAAAAATAAAGTAATACAACATGTTACTATAAATAACCTAAAATTTATTTAACGTCTTTTATAGTAGGGGGGCCAAGCGGGGATTTTTGGATTTACTCGAGCGCGGCAGTATAACATATGGGGAACAACTTTGCACGTAGTTAAGTACTCCCACTATACCTGAGACATCTATGTAGGGCCGAACGTCTAGGGCAGCAAAAACAAAATTTCAACAAACGGCCATGACTTTTCTTCGAGTCCAAATCGTCAGTCTTTTGAATAGGAGCTACTGGAGGGTTCACGTAACATCCCTTCTCAATGTCTGACGCGCTCGGTTATTTTTTCCTATATTCTACCATTTCGTACGGCCACCCCCATATCATGCAAACCGCGGCAGATCAATATTTGTTCCGTTCTTAAAAACGTTACATGAACCCTCTAGTAGCTTATATTCAAAAGACTGACGATTGGGGCGCGACCAAAAGTCATGACCGTCCGTTGAAATATTGTTTTTGCTGCCCTAGACGTTCGGCCCTACATAGAGGGCTCAGGTATGGTGGGTGTACTTAACTAGGTGCAAGGTTGCTCCCTATATGTTATTCTGCCGCGCTTGAGTAAATCCAAAATTCCCCGCTTGGGCTCCCCTACTATAAAAGGCGTTAAATAAATTTAAGGTTATTTATAGATGTGACTATAAATAACCTTACTACCTACAGTTGTAGGTATTACTTTATTTTTTAAGCATAGACAATGGTGTCGATTCTGGCATGATTATCTAAACTTAAACTAAATTTAAGATCAGTCCCTTCTTTTCATTTTGTACGGAGAGTGACAAGGATACACTGCTGTCAAATTTAAGTTTAGGTTTAGAGAATCATGCCAGAATCGACACCAATGACGATATATAAAAGTTGATATATTTCTCCCCTACTATTACTACAACTTTAGGATTGTAAAGATGCACGCACCTCTTTTGATTCCAAAGCGATTCTCAAATATACTCATGATGTACCCGAGGAGTGACTCTTCCTTCTGCTTGATGTTCACATCGCAGTAATCCTTGCTGAGGACCACCGGCTCCAAGTAATCCTCTACTGGTAGATTTACCTGAAGGAAATAACGAAATTTTTATTTGTTATTAAAGTTAATATTCTCTCACGTTTCTTGCGATAGGAATTGAATAAGACGACATCTCACTTTGACGAGCGAACGATAAAATTCTTTACACTTATAATCACAAAAAGCATTCCGTTTTGGTGGTTAGAACATGAAAGACTTTGTTCAACGGAGAAATCAAAGGACATTGTTCTGCTTCCATACATTGTTAGCCTAAGAACCAACAATCATGAAATATTATTTTTTAGGTTCGAAATTGCAAGTAAATGACTGTAAAAGCAAAAATTATTGACGGACACTTCTGAGAACTTAAATAATCAGGAAAACTAAATATTTTTGAGGTTATGTTTAAATTAAAAGAAAAACAATCGCAAATAAACACACCCAACAGGTAATCCGAAACGAGAATGTGAATGCACGAATGCCACAGATTACTACGAATGCAAACTGCCTGCACCACGACCACAGAGTATCGAGTTGTATGCCGGCCCTTCACTTGACAACAGTCTGTCCTTGTCATGCGTAATAAGGAATATAAAGGACAGACTGATGTCAAGTTTTCAAAAAGCAAACACGAATAGCCAAGTGTAGTACCGGCATTAAGAAGAAAGTGTTTTGTTTGAAGCGCTGTCATAGATTATACACAAAAAATAGTAGTCTCAGATTATATTATTTTTTAACTTTTTAATATAGCTTACTTAACTGGAAGTGTCCGTCACAATCTAAATACTGATAATTATCGCAAAAAATATACTAAGAATTATCATAAATGCCAAATTGGTGTTGGTACTTAGGCCAAATTTAACATTATCCTTTGTACTTTAACATCGTGTTTGCTAGTAGCAACAAGGTCCATAATCACAACGAAAGTAAGAATATATGTTCCCCAATAATATGACAAAGGACAATGGCGAACTCCCATACAAATTTTTGTTGAAAAATTTACATGACAGATTTTTAGTCTTAGGCAAGCACTACTCAACAGTCGCAGGGGAATATCTCGAAAGTCCAAAAGCAGTCCAAGTCACACATAAAAAAAACATACCTCAGAAAAAAAACTACGTCGATTTAAATCTTTGCAATACGCATGCACGGTACGCATGTACAAACAACGCTAATGATAACAACAACAATTCGATGTCAAGCATGTAAGTGGCAGTTATAGTTTTTTGTGTTAGAATTGGCGCCATACTCTTTTTGTATTGCGGAGATTATTTATTTAGGTTGCAATATAATATTGAAAAATAATGTTTCCCAATACTTTTGATACACAGTTAAATACAGTTTAAGCGTAAAGCAATGCAAAACCATACGAACAACATACTTGAAGTGGATTCAATCACTAAAATCACTTAAAATAAATGGCTCAAAAGGCATGATGCCAAGCCACAATAAAAAAAAATAAAAAAATAGTCAATTGTGTTTCCCTTTTTTAAGTTTTTAATTCCAGACTAAGACAACCCTCCTCAATTATTTAATAAATCTTTCCAGATTATTTTATACATTTCAACATTTCTGATAATGACATCAATAGACTCTAAAGATTTATTTCAACAAATATTTCGCCATTGTCCTTTGTGTTTTTTATCGATTTAAAGCCCGCATAGCTCACATCTTCTTAAGACCTGAACTTGTTGAGCAGAATTCGCTCGTCAAATGGCTAAATTTATAATAAAAACTCACATTCTTTGCGTGATTACATTCAACTTCATTGGATTGCTTCATAATCAATACTGAATCGTACATATTTCCAGCCACATCACTATTCTCGTAAAGATTGGATTCCTTTTCAATTTTATCGCTTACTGGTTTTTTATCATGATCTACCATTGCCTCAGGCCGTTTAAAGAAAGGCATTTTCAAAGACTGAAACAATTCCTGTAGTTTTATCATACATGGCTTAACGTGAACTACTTGTTTCAAGTCCGTAATATCATCTGTATCATTTTTTACCATATCATTATAACATAGGTCTTCGTAAAAATGATCCTCGGGTAATTTTTCAATGATTTCCTCAGCAGCTGTCAATGATTTATATTTAGGTCTGGAATCATGATTTTTAATGATTTTCTGAATGTAATACCTATTGTTTGTTTTGACAGAGTAATATCCTCTATCTTCTACGTTTTCATGTTTAGAAAATCTTGATAGAATATCTAAGTTTGGATATTCGTACGAACTTAGTCTGAAGAATTTTCTCGATTTCTTTGTACCAACATCCATAGGTAGGTAAGATGGTATACTTTTCTCTGCAGTCCTGGTATAGTTTCTGTACAAAAAACTTTTGGGTGGCACCAGTCTCTTCAATATATCCTCGACGCTAGATATTGACGCAACAGTCGATTCCGGTTTAATTTTCTTTACCGTTTGATACTGGCTTTCGACCGGTATTACATTGGCCATCGTTTTATTTTCACCAAAGTATTTATCGGGGTTAATTTTCAAATCTTCTATGAACTTGATTAACTTTTTCGCGTTCGCTTTGGGCCGCCACAGCTTCACAATACCTTCGGTGACATCCTGGAAATTACATCGCAAATAAATTTCGGTACCTGCATAATCGGAGTTCGTGGGAAACTGGAATTTTGGAAAAAGTGTTTTATGTCTTCGGGATAGGAATAATATTGGAAGTGAGAAAAAGTGCGCTCTAACTAATGGGTTAAATTAAAAAAGTTTGTTTGTGGAGCGTTCACAAGTAGTTTTATTGGCGAATTCACTCGGTGCCTACGCTGGGAGCCAGTCGGGGCTGACTTTATCGATTCAACATGTAACGAACGAGTTCATCGGTAAAGTTTTTTTCGATTCATGTAGCCGTGCTCGTTTCGCTGACAAGTTTTTGAAGCGTAATACCCTCATTATTTTTCTATGAAAGAAATTTCCATCACTCTAGTCGTACGTACGACACAAAGTTTTATTGCCATGTTGTTGGTAACATTTGATTATGGTAGGTAAACAGTACTACAACTTCGTTTTTATCACAGGCTTTGTGAACGTCTATTATAATGTTTTCGTAGTTTTTTTTTCTTGTTATTTAACATTAATTGGATTTTTCCCTTGCGAACTATAACAGATGGACTGGCAATTTATCTTTTGATAGGTTCTTTACTAATTGGTAGTATGTAATGTGTGTTATAGTTACATTATCTCTTATCTATTAGACAAGTCCGTCCGTCCGTCCGTCCGTGGTGCTGTTTCAGCGGCCAAACCGTAAGAGATAGATATAGAGAATGTTTAAGTTATAAGTTAAGAATAGTCTGATAAGACTACAAACTGGATGTGAGTAACGTAGCACTTCCGGTTTTCGAGAAATCACGTGATTTCTATTTCAAACGAAACCACACAAAATCTCCGAAGTTCTCAATTAATTAAATACATTTTTTTTTTGGTGAACATTTGGTTCACTGGTTTGCTAGTTAAAACTGAAGTTATTACCATACTAACAAAATTACCAAACATACAGCAAACCTGCAGATAATCCTAGACTGCATGAAGCCTTACTAAATAGAATATTAACTAAGTATTGAAATCCTCTATATTTCGTAATGAGATAGACATTTTTAACTGAAAATTATATTTCAATTTGGATAAATAAATAATTGTTTTATGGGAACAATTAGGGGACATGAGGCGCACTTTGTCTTCCATCTTAAAATGGTTGCCTTGTACAAATTTATTTAGTCTTTTAAGGTTTAAGATGAATCTCATAGATCCATCGCTATTGGGAGTTAAAAATATATCTGAAACAAATTGATCTTTACATGGTAAGATAAATCTGGTAAGACGGAGACAAGATAATCAAAAAAAAATAGCCATGAGTTCAACGCGAGTTTTAGAATAAATGTAGGACTGAAAAATTTATAACCACAAAAAAAATGGCATGTGTTCAATACAAGTTAGAGAAAAAATGTCATACAAAATGTACCTTGTTTTTTATGAGTCTCCGATATTTCGTGAGAATGTGACCAATGGTAGTGGTAGTATCGAACGCAGTAAAAGACGACGTCAGAGGGTAGACCGATATGTCTGCCAATAACATCTACCCGCAATTACTTCAGTTACTCCGTGATCATGGCGCTTGCAATAGTGCCGAAATATCGGAGACTCATAAAAAACAAGGTACATGGTAACAATCCCGTTAATATCTATAATGTTAGTGACCATGAAAGTTTAAAACAATATAATGTCGTACAAAATTTGCTTAATTACAATTTCTTTTTGTAGTAAGCCCGTTAATTTTATTCCATTCCACCAGCTCCCGGCTAGTTTTGAATTCGTTCGCGGTAGAATAAATTTCAAATACTAAACAATTAGGTTAAAGCCGTGTAAGATTAGAAGTTGCAATCGCCAGCCTCTTGGTACGTTAGTGATAAAATTTCACAAGACAAACAGTGAGTCCCTTCATTAAAACTTTGAGCCCTACAACAATTTCAGGGAACTTTAATCCCCACTTATGAGGGAGATAGTTTGAACATCATAGTATACTAGCAAACCAGTGAACCAAATGTTCACCAAAACCTGATTAAAAAAATAAATACTTTTGATATTATAAATATGAATACCTATAACTGTTACTTTATTACAAGAAATAAAGATGTGGTTTTTGGTTCTACTACACCAATGGTCAAGAGATGGCGCTGTAGCCTCCTGAATCGCGCTTTGGTTCCGTTGTTCCAGATTAATAAATACTTTTGATAGGCCTTCAGAATGCAGTCGTTAGCACCCACTAAATAGAGATTCTATTTCTATTTTGTTGGTAGATTTTCTTAATGTGCGGTAAACACAAAAGTAACAGCATGAAGATGGTCGCTTTAGCGAGTTAAAATTTTGTGTTACAGTGATGCGCGCGCATCTTAAAATTTCACTCTCATCATTTTTTCATAATGCGCCTAAAGAAGTATAACTTCAAAAATGTATTTAATTAATTGAGAATTTCGGAGATTCTGTGTGGTTTCGTTTGAAATTCGTGATTTCTCGAAAACCGGAAGTGCTACGTTACTCAAATCCGGTTTGTAGTCTTATCAGACTATTCTTAACTTATAACTTAAATATTCTCTTTATCTATCTCTTACGGTTTGGCCGCTGAAACAGCACCACAGACGGACGGACTTGTCTAATAGATAAGAGATACATTTTCACTATTCCCTAACTATATTTGTTTCTTAGGTTTTCACGCACATCACTCATTAAATAAAACTAGTTTTAACGGATTAATGCACGGACTTTATTTATTTATTGACGTTTCGCAGCCTTTTCAAGTCTGCATCGTCAGAATAATGTTTTTTTATTTACTTTGTCGAGCTACCTTCGGAAGACTTTTATAATTATTATTAAACTATTAAGAATTTTTATTTATTCCCTAACCATGTTTACCGAGGAGCTCGATGGCGCAAGTGGTTAGCGCGTTCGGCTGCGATCGTTGAAGTTAAGCAACTTTCGCAGTGGTCGGTCATTGGATGGGTGACCAAAAATTTACTATCTCGAGCTCCTACGTGCTTCGGAAGGCACGTTAAGCCGTTGGTCCCGGTTGCATCTGCAGTCGTTAGCACCCGCCAATCCGCACTGGGCCCGCGTGGTGGGTTATGACCCAATCTCCCTATTCCATCCATAGGGAAGGCCTGTGCCCCAGCAGTGGGAACATTAATAGGCTGATGATGATGATGATGAACCATGTTTATGTAGGATAGTTACATTGGTGTTGTAGAGAGAGCAAGTTCGTGTTTTATTTTTGAGTGTGTATGCTGTTGGACGCAGATGACCTTTACAGCGTCACCGGGTTTGGGGACGGCGAGATCCGAAGGGGAACTCAAGCCGAGAATGAGGGCTACCGTTTTCTGTCTCACCAGATGGCGCCACTGTTGAGTGAGGTCCTAAATTGTAACTTTTAAAGTTTATTAATACGCACATGAAATCAAAGGCTACATTTAAATCGTATTTTAACACAAAAGAACCATATCCTAAACATAATAGGCCATGCCACAGTGACGCGCAATTCCGTTTTATTCGGAAAAAATGGGAACATAATCATTTTTCTAAGCTCAAATTTTTAATAACTGACATTCATTGCCACATTACTCATATTTGCCATAATTAAGCCGAATTGTTACCAATTATTAACAACATTATTTTAATAAGAAATAAACCCGCGTAGTCAACCAACAAGCAATAGACCTCACGCTACACTAGCGCCTCTAGCGGCGGATTCATACGCGATAGCCCTCATTGGCACGCTGCCCTGTATGGGAGCGTGCGTAATGAATTTTACCGCACGTCCCGCTGTATGGCTCGTAGTTTTGAATTCTCGAACAACCTTCGCAAATGCATATTTTGAGCAAATGTGTTGAAAAAATTACAAAAAGTACAAATCCACAAGAATATGCAACAGAGATTGGCGGAAAAGTAATACAATGATCATATGGAATGACAGCTCCCTAATCCAAATGTAAATTGTATTTCTTTTTTCTGTAACAATATTTGGGGTCCGACCAATGTATGTTTTTTTGGGATTTTTCAAAACAGGGCTAAACTTTAGATAACGAAGTTGAAACGAAATTTTATTTCGTCAATTTAAGTTTAAACTTAACTTAAAAGCTTTCTTTGATTAGGCTTAGAAAATCTACACCTCAATCTATATTCCGACGAACCAGAAACATAGTAAGAAAAGTTTCAAGTGCGCAGTTTCGATCGAAATTTAGTTTTTCGTTGGGTAAGCCTCCAGACCAGACACTGTTTTAAATCGTGTTTAGACATTTTTTCATCAACCTGCGTTGACCTTTGAAGTGAAACTTCTTTATCGGCGTTGAAAAAAAATTTACCGTCACATTTTTCGGACGTTACGCGTCACATTTTTGCCGTTACGCGCCATCTTTTTTTATATTAATAGTTGATAGCTGAATGATCACAATGTCGCCGGCGAGAACTCTCTCTACTCGTTTGTAGCTGAGTGACAATAGTTATTAAAGATAAGACTCGCTCAGCCAAACTCGCATAGCGATACTCGCTCAGCGATACTCGCTCAGCGATACTCGCTCAGCGGTACTCGCTCAGCGATACTCGCTCAGCGGTACTCGCTCAGCGATACTCGCTCAGCGATACTCGCTCAGCGATACTCGCTCAGCGATACTAGCTCAGCGATACTCGCTCAGCTATACTCGCTCGGTTAAGCTGGCTTGGCTGTCAAAAGCCGTGCGCGTGCATTTTAACTCAGGACTGCCAATTCGTTTCTAGTTTCTACTCGCTTATCGTTCATCGTCGGAGGTGGAACATGTGCCTTAGATTACTGAGCCGTGTAATCATAACAGTTTCATAGGCAGTAATTTGTATTCATGTCTATGATAATAAAATCCTTTTGTTTAAACTTTATCTAATTTAACTTTATTTAACCAATTTCTGGAAAGTTGCATGTAGATCATTTTTCGAAAAATAAGGCCATAAACAAGTTTCACTTCTTACGTGTGTACACTAGTACACGCACACATTTTTATTTTTGGAGTTTACTCCTTAAAAATCGTTTTGCATATATA